AATGGCTGTAAGAAATAGTGTTGCCGTCTATATGTAGAAGCTATTGGAAATCCTACAGCCGGCTGTAGGTCTATGGTAGTTTGGAACACAGATTCTATTGTCAATTTTTACCAGGGAATCGGGCTTGATGCGCCACATGGCTCCTAAAACTCAAAGGTGCGTTTCGAACACAGGCCGATGAAGAGTGCATACAGCATGTAGATGATTATAAATAGATCATCGTATTTCTGCAAAACGGAACTATGTGCATTAAGATATGAGCCTTGTGACCCATGAGAAATATATATGCGTAACAGGGCTCACGTCATAATGCACACATAGTTCCGTTTGGCAGAAATACGTCCAATAAATGTATAAGTATATGCCGGAATATCTTAGGTGGGGCCAGCACCAGTAAAATTGAAAAGATAACGGGTGAGGGTGATGAGCAAGCCATGGAGTTGGAGGATGGGCAATGGATTTGAAGCTGGAAGAACTCCTTACATCTCATTGTAGTGTCTGGGTATTCCAGAATGGAAGTTGGAACAAGTCATGAGAGACCAAAACATGCTGCGTAGGTGAGCCACTGCAATATTAAGAATTCCTCAGGACCACAGTACTCCCAAAGCAGAACCGGATTAAGGGGGTGGCCATATGGGCCGCGGCCCATCCCAAGTAGCAGTGATCGCGATAAATACCGATTTTATCGGATGAATATCGCGATTATATCGGTGTATTCATCGCAATATTATCAAATGAAAAATTGCGATTCATGGCGATTAAATCGCTATGCATCGCAATTTTTTGTCCGATAAAATCGCGATCAATTTTCGTTGATAAAATCGAGATTATCGCTAAGTACAGGGTGTTTCAGACCACCCGTACCAGGCCTTTTTCTCGGTTGGTTTAGGTCGCACGAAGTCGGAGACTGCGGGGTTGAATAGGGAATTGACCCCAAGGAATCCGAATTTTGTGGTCCCGAAACCCCCCCACCTCCCCTTGGGGGGTAAAGGGGGGGTCACGATGCTAAAAGTCACGGTTCCCGACCGAATTGCGGATCGATCGCATTAGAATTGAAAAGCACGGAAAATTTCACGTGGAATTGACCCCTAAAAATCCAAAATCGGACCATCCAAGGCCCATAAATGATCCCCTAAAGAGGGGGACAGTACCCCCCTCCATAATTTCTCTTTGGTCTCAAAATTGACGTAAATTCTCCAGAAAAGGACGGTTTCCCAGGTAATCGACCTCGAGAAATCCAAATTTCATGGTCCCGAAGCTCCTCCAGCCCCCCTTGGCGGGTAAATGGGGGGGCCCAATTTTAAAAATCGGGGCTCCCTTCCGAATCGCAAATTGTTTGCATCCAAATTGAGGAGCAGAACAGATTTACATCTTAAGTGACTCCTAAGAGTTCTAATAGACCCCCTGAACGGCAGAAAGCAACTCCCTGAGGAGGGGGGCTTCGTCCCCGCCTAAAATTTCTCAAGATTCCTGAATGGTCGCAAAATTGACGTCGATTCTCCAGAAAAAGACGGTCTCCCATGTGATCGACCCCAAGAAGCTCAGGGAACATGAAATTTAGAGTCCTCGGGGTCGATTACATGGGAAACTGTCTTTTTCTGGAGAATCGAAGTCAATTTTGCGACCAAAGAGGAATCCTGAGAAATTTTTGGCGAGGCGCGCGAGGCCCCCTTCCTCAGGGGGTTACTTTCTGCCGTTCAGGGGGGTCAATTAGAACTCTTAGGAGTCACTTAAGATGTAAATGTGTTCTGCTCCTCAATTTGGATGCAATCAATTTGCGATTCGGAAGGGAGCCCCGATTTTTAAAATTGGGCCCCCCCCATTTACCCGCCAAGGGGGGCTGGAGGAGCTTCGGGACCATGAAATTTGGATTTCTCGAGGTCGATTACCTGGGAAACCGTCCTTTTCTGGAGAATTTACGTCAATTTTGAGACCAAAGAGAAATTATGGAGGGGGGTACTGTCCCCTCTTTAGGGGATCATTTATGGGCCTTGGATGGTCCGATTTTGGATTTTTAGGGGTCAATTCCACGTGAAATTTTCCGTGCTTTTCAATTCTAATGCGATCGATCCGCAATTCGGTCGGGAACCGTGACTTTTAGCATCGTGACCCCCCCTTTACCTCCCAAGGGGAGGTGGGGGGGTTTCGGGACCACAAAATTCGGATTCCTTGGGGTCAATTCCCTATTCAACCCCGCAGTCTCCGACTTCGTACGACCTAAACCAACCGAGAAAAAGGCCTGGTACGGGTGGTCTGAAACACCCTGTATATATCGCGATTTTTGTTTCAATAATACCGCGATAAATTGCCGGGCAGTAAAATTGCGAATATATTGCAACAAGATCGAGGATAATCGCTCAGATGTTGATGATCCTAGCGATTTGATCGCGATCGCCGATAAATTCGCATTATTTCGCGATTTTCCGTTGAAAAATGCTACTTTGGGATGGCGGCGAATTTTGCAATTTTTTTAAATGTAGGTATAAAAAGAAAATCAGATCCAGAAAAAAAATTACAAACGAGAAAAGGCGACAAAATCTCTCATTTCCTGAAAGTATAGTCATTTCTAATTTTGTCGTCTTTCGGTGATACAAGAGACAGCGCTTTTGTTTAGTCGAGTTAAGAGAGAAACCTAACACGCAATTTGGCATGGAGCGGCGCGGCGCAGAGAGCAATAACGACGAGGACTTGGGATACAAAGGAGAAGCCCTCGGTACGGCGGTTGACATGTAACACATATTAGCCCCTACAAGACTGCATGAATACTTCACGCATTGCGTCAAACACAGTGCGGTCAGCAGCGGCCAACGTGAAACGCATAGCGCCTACAAGACTGCATGAATACTTCACGCATTACGTCAAAAACAGTGCGGTCAGCGTGAAATGCATAGCGCCTACTAGACTTCAAGAATACTTCACGCATTGCGTCAAACACAATGCGTTCAGCAGCGGTCGGCGCGGCGTGAAACGCATAGCACCTGCAAGACTATAGGAATATTTTACGCATTGCGGCAAACACAGTGCGGTCAGCGCGGCGGCGGAAGTTAAAATCATTAAACCACATTTATGTTTTAAGAAATTAAATTTAAAATCTGGGCACTATACATTTATTTATGTGTTTTTTACTTACATATATAGCTTAAAGCTTTGAACATTTATGTTTGTTGGAGTTTTTTAGCCAACGTGCGTAAAAAGTTCAGCTTAAAGCTGGAATCTCATTATAGAGGGAAAAAGCTCACATACAAGCACAATTTTCCCTCACGACAATTTATCACGACCTCTCGAGCTTGGTAGCAGGAAATTCAGGAGGCTGCACTGCACTGAGGATTGGCCCAACAAGGCCGAAACGCGTCTGCAGTTGCCTTCCTGAATGGACGTAACTACACTATAGTGTTGCTCCAAACAGGGAAAATTGTGCTTGCATGTGAGTTTTTTCCCTCTATAATGAGATTTCAGCTTTAAGCTGAACTTTTTACGCACGTTGGCTAAAAACTCCAACATCCCGTCTTACGACCCGTGCGTTCACCGCCATCGGTTTGTATTTATGTTTGTTCTTGCATAATTTTTACGATCATTTCTTACAAATGGAAGGCCTTGTCGCCACAGAGATAGGTATAAGGAACTTAACTTTCGAGCAAAGTTCCGTGAACTCTTGCTAGGAGGGTTGACAGGGCCTTCGCAAAAAATGTTTCTAACACGAGTATACGAGTATTGTGTACTCCTCCCCCTCCGGCACTTTCACATGATGGTTTTTATTTATGTTTCAAAACGAATGTGAAGGGGGCGGCAAAATACAGGCGGCCCATGGGCGGCAAGAAGGTAAATCCAGCCCTGTCCCAAAGAGAAAAAGAGATTGATTTGTAATACCCTGATTGAGAGCACTCTGAACTATGCATATGAAAAATCACACTTGATAGATTTTCAAGGCGACCGAAATGGCTTTCTAGCAAAGATCAGCCAAAATTTTGAGAGGGGGTCACATAAGAAATGAAAGAATGTGCTACATGATGTATAAAGAGTGCACTATCATCCATGAAATCATTGTCTGATAACTTGTTTGGTGCGATCATGTGCAAGGGACGGCTGATGACAGGTTCTCTGATTCTGCCTAGGAGGGTATCAGATTTTTAAGGGGAAGAAAACGTGGGAGAAGACCAGCTAGATCTTGGATGGGTGCCATTTAACATGAAATCAGAACATTTAATTTTCAATTTAACGTTCCATTTGATAGACAGGAGCAACGGTTAATTGTTGCAAAGTGTCTGAATATGGTATAAAAGCAACTTTTGCATATGAATGTGTTCTTAACATTTCTTTTCATGATTTTATAAGAGGCATGACAAGTAGTCCTGCTGGTTTTGTTCAAAATTGACTTCCAAGCTCACGAAAGCACTTAAAGGGACAAAACATAGGTACAAAACATTGATATGGGAGCATCAACCTGCTTTTAAAGGCATATTCTCTCACCAGAATCAGAACTATTACATGGAATTGCCTTGCCCATTCCTTATAAGTTACATGTTTGAGACATGGGGTCAAGCAGAAATTCATTTTTATCGAAGAGGAAGCCAAAATCTCTGGGTAAAATTGTTTCAATAATTTACATATCTGTATTTCTAGGATACCTGTTTTTTCGTTTGCTGACTTTAAAATGCTCTAGAAAAGCCAATTTTTGGAATTATACAGTGTTTCTTACAGCAAAAGATTTTTTATTAGCCCCAAGATGCGAAGATATAGTTATCTCAGTTTTTATTTTTTTCATCTTCAGTCCTCTTTTTCTTAGATGCGTCACATTTTTATGAGAGCTCTTCATGAGCTTTGGGGTTCAATTTTGAGACAATCTTTAAGACATTTCTCGAATTCTTGAAAATTTTTATACAGGTAAGAAAAACTGGTTAGATTGAAAATCCCTCTCTCTTGAAGCAGTTTCATTATACTTTGAACTTTGTAGAACTTTGTCAGCGTAGCTTTATTCGGGGGAAGGACTCTTGAAAAATTGATGCATTTTTATCTTAAATATTTACTTTTTACAAGCATAAAAATAGAAATATCTCGTAAAAATAAGCTCTAAGGTACAAATTGACTTTGTAGTAAAAACAACACAACAGAAAACTATGAAAAACACAACAACTGAAAAAGAATAGAACATAAACATAACATCTGATTTAAATTGATCCATGGCTTTGTATGACAGAGCAATAACAAGATGGCAAATGAAAGACTGAAATCATCCATATAGTAGTGCCTTTGTAATCTCTCTCATTATGGCATGCCGCTGAATCGATTTAGCACTGAGATCACCATATGACGCAGTTTCTGAAAAAAAATAATAACATTATTTTCAGAGGAAAATAAGCCAAAATCACACACATACAAAGCTACAAATTGTCTAAACTAGATCAGGGCTGCTTACACACAATAATGAGTAAAAAACCGTGTATAGATGGCTTAAGTTGGAAAACGCATGCCTTAGATTACAATATTGTCAGTCTCCGCTCATACCTACTCAATTTTTTAGAGGATAACCTATAGTTCCTATTGAAATCAATTAATTGACTTCATTTGTTTAAACAAAAAAGAGATCACATAAAATAGCGAGAAAACATTTTGACTGGTTTTCCTAGAGGAAAATAAATCATAATATGAGATTTTTAAACATTGCAATTGAGTTACACACTTTTCCTGCTCCGGACTTCAGCAGGTTCACAGTCTTTCTTGCACTTACATGATATGCTAGTGTTAGACAAGACAGTTGCAGGTGCCATCTTCTTACATGCTTTCAAGGATACGTTTTGAACTCACAACAAACGAAGTTTAGGGTTAGAAATTGGTAGGAAAAGGCACCATTTTACTTAAAAGTACAGCTCTCATGGGCTCTCAAGTGGAATAATACTTCCTATGGCTGTTTTGTCTGAAACAATGTCTATTGTTGCACATTTATGGCTTCCTCACATGCCTCGTTTTTCTACGAAGATGACAAATTTTGAAGTTTTAGCTGCATCAGTGATCTCATTTACATTAGGTGAGACAAATTTGGAAGGAGACTCGATTTTGAAAATTTAAGAGCTGCGGCTCTCTTTACTGTCACAGCAGAATAGTATTTCCTTACCCCAAAATGTGGTCCAATATGAGGGCACTAGCCAAAAGCAAAATCTTCTAATAATTTACCTGAGGTTTGCAATTTTCCTCCAACCAGCTGAAGACACTGGCAGAAAGCACATCAAAGTTTGCAACACTTATGGTTGAAAACGTTTTGTACAGCTCCTCCATAATATTTTGAAACTGAAAGTTAAGAAACAACAATTAGAATCATGATGTTCGGCTTTGGTCTGTCAAGTTTTCACCCTTTATTTCCTTTCCGAAGGAATTAAATAAGTTGTGCAGCAATGAACCTCTAAACAAAGTGCAAATTTAAGCATTATAATGGATGTTTTCTCATAAAGTTTTACGTCGAACACTATTTGTGTAAAATAAATTCTTGACAATAACTCCTGGCAAAGATAAATATTTTTTTGCACATAAATTCAAATTTCCCGCTAGAACCCAAATTTTTTTATATTCGCAAGACTTCCCTCCAAGAGTTTTCCAAAATATATTATTCCACATGCATTTTGCCATTAAAAGTTGATTTATGAGTGGAAAACCTGTTGAAATACTGGAGGTTATACTTTGCTGATTTGTCAAATTCCTAAAATCAAAAAATTCTGCTCCAAAACTAACAATTCACTTGAGCAGACTTGAAGATTCACTTTTCACAAACAGATTTTCAAAGGGATAGTTTGTCAGCGAAGGGTGTTTTACGAGTCAATATTTTTTGAGTTTCAAAACTGATTTTTTCAGTTTTATGACTTTGATAAGTCTTCAACTTTCCTTATAACTTTTTGCGTATAAATACGTTCAATTGCTGAAAACACCTTCATTGCCTTGCTCCTTAGGGCAAATATTAATGTGATTCAGGTGATCAAGAGTGCAAAAAATAAAAACTCCCTTTCTACAGACATCTTAGGATCCTATTCATAACATAATTTTGATTTTTAAATTTAGACTAAAATAATACCTCATTGAATTCTCAAAGAAAGTTACTACAACTAATTGTATTGGGCCCTATACTTGATGCCTATTTCCGGGATATTCAAGGGTCTAATTTGCAAGCTTAATTCTTCGTCAGAGTTGTCTAAAAATAGTGGGCCTTACCACTTGAAACTTGACTTGATCTGAAATCCGAGTCTCCGTTTGACCAGGGGTGTTTTGCTGTGCTTTTACCATCAGTTCGTAATTTGCTTGCATGATTCGCAGAGCCATAACCTCTTTCCTGAGAGCGTTTCTTTCTTCCTCAAGCACTTTCTTCTGTCGCAGTAAAAACTAAACAAAACGTAAAAAAAACTATTAATTTAAGATGTAAGCAAATTAAAGCAGAATTTAGATGGGGGACAAGGGGTCCGTTCATAAGTTGGTTGGCATAATCCCCGACAGGGGTCATTGTTCTCCCATAAGCTCTTGATTCCTGTTCATAAAAAAATTGTTCACTCATGGAAGAATAGTAAGACAAATTTTAAATTTATCATAGAGACAAGGTGGAGAAATTGTGTGGACCCAGCACTATTTCTCCATCTTGTTACATACAGTTCGGGCCACTTCTCAGTGTTTTATTTTTTCATTGATCATAGAGTTAAGTATGTATTTGTTTTAAATTGACAATATGTGTTTATACTTCAATTAATAATAAAATAAAGAAGAAAAAACTACAAAACCGAGTGATCACTTAGTTCCCTTCCTTTTTTTTATTTAGCTCTTCTTCCGATCTAAGGTGGTCTGAGAAAATCTAAAAATCTGCCATACTGAAACGGTGAAAAGTTAGCAGGACTTTGAGAATTTTTCTCATTTCTTATTCTTTGCGTAAGGTTGACGAGGGATGAGGGAATGGCAGCTCCGAGAGGGGTTTTGGAAGGATAGGGGTCTGTTGAAGTTAGGTGTCGCAAGGTGCCAGAAAGCAAGTTAAAAACCAGCTCTCACGTATGTATGTTTAGTGAATATTTTGGAATCATTCAAGAAAAATCAGACCTTTCAGATGTTGATTTTTAGGCAAGAAGCAAGGTCTCAAATTAACCGGAGCTAAAACAATGAATTCATCTCCCTCAAAACCTCAGCTTCAACAGAAAATCCATTATTTGTAATGTAACTAGTGAATTTAGCATATTACTTAAATTATGGATGCATACCAATCTTCATGAGATTTGGTGCATTACCATGGCCAAAATTCAGGAAAAATGCTTTATTATGCAGAACTTCA